CAGCCCATCTCCGACGATGCATGGAAACTAATTGCAGATGAGCCCCACAGAGCGAAGAGAGCTGTCGTATATGTTGGTAACCTCAGCAGGGAGACAACTGAAGACCGGTTACGCGAATTTGTTGATTTGCGTAGCAGGGCCGTCAACTCCGACACACCAGTAGTGCTCCACACCTGTAGCATGCATGTCAATGCTAGCGGCTGCATGTCTGCAAGAGCGTTTGTGGATGCCAGCTCCCTGCATATCCTGCTGGCTGCCAACTTCTGGCCAAGGCCACTTTATTGCAGGAGGTGGACCTTCCACACATCCGACACTCACAAGACAGTACCAGGGTCAGCTCAGCCTGGCTGCCCACCAACTGACACGCCAGAGACATCCCCATCCCTGCCCAATCCACTGCAAAGCGCAGGTAGCAACAAAAGCAGCAGCGCAGATACTGCAAGCAACAACAAAAGCAACAGCGCAGATACTGCAAGCAACAACAAAAGCAGCAGCGCAGATACTGCAAGCAAGCAACAATGAAAATCCTCCTTACAAATGCTGGTGGAATCATGTCCAAATTTGGAGAGTTTCAACACGCGCTTGTATCCTCCAAAGCTGATATCGCTGTTGTTACTGAAACCAAGATCACCGCAGAGAAATTCTCCCTTCACGAGTCAGCCATCCCAGGGTACTCCGGCCCACTCCGGCGTGACAGGACTGAACATGGTGGTGGCATAGCAATCTGGATACGCAGCCCATTGGCGTACCATCATCTAGATCAGTACGACTCATCTGTTCACGAAGTAACTTGGCTCACAGTGCAGTCTGCCCATCATGGTAAGATAGTGCTGGGTGCTGTATACAGGCCAGGATCCGCCTCAGACACTGATATCTCAACACTTGAGCACCTCGATGGCATCCTGGATAGCGTCAGAAAACACGGCACCCACACCATGCTGGTCGGAGACTTCAATGTCCACAACACGGCTTGGCTCGGCAGCTCTAAGACCACCCGTGCAGGGGAGTACATGGAGGAACTAAGCGCTGCCCACAGCCTCATGCAGCATGTCCAAGAACCAACCCGAGGTCTCAACACCCTGGACTTAGTGCTCTCTGACTTCACTGGTACTGTGACCACCGGTATCTCGCCGCCGATAGGAAGGTCAGACCATTGTGTTGTCCACGCTGTGCTCGCTCAAGCCCCGCTAGAAAATGAGCCCAGCACACGGAGGCGTGTGTGGCGATATGGCCAAGCCGACTGGAACAGACTGCGTGCCCACTACCGTCGCATTGCCTGGGCAGCTGAGTTTCCGGAGGACCCAGAGGAAGCATGCAGCCTTGTTACTAGGCACATCGTGTCTGGGATGCTGCAGTTTATTCCCCACAAGATGCTGGAAACAAGGCCGTCCGATCCGAGCTGGTGGACACCAGAATGCACTGAGGCTCAACGTGCCAAAGAGAAAGCGTGGAAGGCCTGGCGTCACCAGGGGCCCAGCGAATGCCTGAAGCAGTCGTTCATGACAACTGTCACTCAATCTATTACAACCCAACATCGTGCACAACAAGCTGAAGAGCAGACAGTCCGAGAGCGTCTCACACGTGGTTCCATGAGAGACAAGGACTGGTGGAGGAATGTCAAGCGCGCCGCCGGTCTGGGTAGGACTACAGACGTGCCAACACTCACTGATGCTGACGGGCACGAGCACAGTACATCGAAAGCCAAGAGCGAGTGCCTTGCTAGATTCTTTGCTGAAAAATGTAGCCTTGGGGGTAATGACATCGACAATGCTGAGTTACCAGCAACACCCCGCACTACCACTCCGGGCCTGCAGCGCATCCGCTTCCGCGTCTCTGAAGTCCAACAGTGCCTGAAGCGTCTCAACACATCCAAATCCACTGGTCCAGATGAGATCCCAGGACGAGTACTCAAGGAGTGTGCAGCTGAACTAGCACATCCGCTGGCTAGATTGTTTCGCCTGTGTTTTGCAAATGGAGTCCAGCCCCAATCATGGAAAATTGCCCGTGTCGTTCCAGTGCACAAGAAAGGACCCAAATCCATGATGAAGAACTACCGACCTATATCTCTCCTGACGATCATCTCTAAGATCATGGAAGGTATCATCAATCGGCAGCTTGTGAACCACCTGGAAACCCATCAACTCTTCTCCTCGTCCCAGTTTGGCTTCCGACGTGGACTGGGCACAAGTGACCTACTGACGGCTCTCCAGCATTCCTGGGCCACTACCCTGGCTGGCGGCGGTCTTGTGCATGCCCTGGCAGTTGATATTGCCGGGGCATTCGACAAGGTTTCCCACCCAGGTGTCCTTGCGAAGGCACAGCAATGTGGCATCCACGGCCAACTCCTGGCTTGGCTAAGGTCGTATCTCCATGACCGAAAACTGACTGTAGTTGTTGGCGGTCAGTCCTCCCCACTGTTCCCGATCAAGGCTGGAGTGCCCCAGGGTAGCCTCCTAGGTCCCACTCTTTTCCTGTTATATGTAAACGATGCAGAACAGTGTTTAGCCCCAGGCTCCAGTCTAGCTGTCTATGCGGACGATACAACACTCTATGCCCTAATCAGAAACCCAGATACCATCGCTGCTGCTTGCAATAGCCTCCAAGCATCTATTGACCGCCTGCAGACTTGGGGTGCCCAATGGAAGATAAAGTTCGAGCCATCAAAATCTCAGGCAATACTCCTTGACCGCCACAGACCATCCCTGGATGTCCCACAGCTCACATTTGATGGCATGCAGGTGCCTGAGAGCCCTCAGCTCAAGCTGCTAGGAGTGTTATTTGACAGTACTCTCTCCTTCCGGGCCCACATCCGTTCCCTTGCCGTTAGAGCCAACCAGCGACTCGGCCTGCTCCGAAAGGCATCTCGGATCCTGGACAGTGCAGGGCGCCTAACTGTGTACAAAGGATTTGTACGGCCTATAATGGAGTACGCCCCTCTCGTCTGGGCAAGTGCGGCACATTGTCACCTCCATCAGCTGGACCTGGTCCAGCGTCGAGCCATGAAGGTTATTGGCCCCTCATTGCTCCCCAGCCTGGCAATCCGAAGGCATGTTTACGGGCTGTGCTACCTGTATAAGCTGCAATGCATACCAGGTCCAGCTCTGCTTACCAACATGGTACCTCCCCCAGTAAGAGTTAACGCTGCACCCCGGACGCGCCGGCAACGCCAGTCCCTCGGTGACCACTCTTTCCAACTCGCAACTCCTCTGCCAGCCTCCAGTCCAGAGTTCATCCGCCGCTCCTTCCCATACTTTGTCCTGGAGAGCTGGAACACACTGCCTGCCCCAATCCTCGCCGAACGCCCAACTCTCAAGAAATTGCCGACATTCAAGACCAAGGCCTACCATCACCTCCGCCAGACCAATTGGCTATGGGCCACTGAAGTCCACCAGCACTGAGAATAACCGGTTGTCTCTATTATTATCATTTTCTGTCTGTCTCTCTCTCTCTCTCTCTCTCTCTCTCTCTCTCTCTCTCTCTCTCTCTCTCTCTCTCTCACTCTTCCTCTCCTGGGAAGCTCCTCATGCTCATTCTCCCTTTCTCTGTCCATTTCCCCTTCCTGATGCGTAGACCAACTGTTGAACCCGAGACCACTAGGTCGGGGGAGGTTGACCTACCTCATCGGCACGCATGCCACGCTCCTCTGTGTTGTCAAAGTTCGCTTGTTCACTTTTGTCTACCTCCCCTTTTATGTTGCTGGCCAGTGCTTTGTAGTAAAAAAAAAAAAAAAAAAAAAAAAGTCAGCGAGTGCGACAAAATGGCACAAAACTGGCAAGGATTATTTAAGAACATGGGGAGTACTGCTGTTGTATGTGAAGAAATTATAATAGGGGAGACTGAGAAAAAAGAAAGAAAAATGAGAGAAATACTGTGAACAGAAAATCCACAATTATGCATGTACAATCTATTGTACAACTAATCTGCTAGAAAGAGACTTACCACAAGCAGGTACAGTAATAGCAAGAGAGCTATTGTTTTTATTGTAGAAAGGAAAAGGACATCAGGATACGAGTTAAGAGTAACTCTCCATCACTGTAACTGGATGCTATATACTGTCAGAAAGTGCAATAACTAGGCACCAAACTGACAAGAGTACTGAGACATTAGACGTCCTGACACCTAGCTTCAACACATCTCCGTAGTGCTAACTGACAGCCTTCCAACTTGGAAGGTTCAAGGTTATGGAAAGACCAAAGAGGGGAAGGCGAGCGCAACGAAAACGAGCAAAAGTTACAGTCCCAACGGAACAAAGAATGTCGATTGTTACTGATGATGAGACCAGTACGATATTCGACAAAGCGGTCTAACTACAATTCGAAGCAGCAAAGCAGCACAATACCCAACTTGGGTGGGTCATAAATATCAAAGATATGTAAAGAAAGGGGAAGCTTTGCGAAAACGAATTGTACAAGCCGAAATCTAAACTCCTACAGTACTCCTCATGCATGACATTGTGATGGACTAGTTGACTACAAAACAAGTTGTTTCACACGACGTACGTTTCGCCGTATGGTTCGTGACGGCTCATGAAGTGTGCAATTTGAAACGTTAGGACTGTAGCTTTTGCTCGTTTTTGTTGCGCTTGCCTTCCCCTCTTTGGTATTTCCATAACCTTGAACCTTCCAAGTTGGAAGGCTGTCGGTTAGCACTACAGAGATGTGTTGAAGCTAGGTGTAAGGACGTCGAATGTCTCAGTACTCTGTCAGTTTTGTGCCTAGTTGTTGCACTTTCTGACTGTATAATATCTAGTTACAGTTGTGGAGAGTTACTCTTGACTCGTTTCCATATGTCCTTTTCCTTTCTACTTTTATTATTATTATTATTAAATTGTGAATAGGGCACTCCCCATAGGCCTTTTACAGGGTACCTTAGCTTTCACCTTTTATGTTGTAAAGGTCCTTCTAATACTAAGGACATGGACTGATGTTCACATGTGTTTGGACGGCATAAAAAAAGTACTGGTATCCATGCATGGGTGTGATTTCTGATAATTTCTGCAGGTGAAAATGTAACGTGCATCAATAATAGATTGCCTGGTGAATTAGGGACTTGGTTTTTACTGAAAGGCGTTCCAGGTGATTCGTTTACACCTGCGTCCAGAGAGACCGCTAGTGAAGCTTGCCACGAACGAGGATTCCATCTGTGGTCACTACAAGAGATGCTAGACTTCACCAAAACCTATTTTGATTATGAGACTCTACCACAGGAAGCAGACAATGAAGACACCTGTATCTTTGGCCTACTCAAAAATTTCAGAATGGCCCATTCTAACGGAACAGGCATCTCCTACTGGTTTGGGGACTTTATAGCCCACAAATTCGACCTCAAACTTTTGAAAGTGGAATCCACCAATCCTGGTGAGAATAATAGTGCAATTTGTAAAGGTGAGTCACTGCAGTAGATGTCTGATGAAAACAGAGGTACATTTCTTCAGTATGTCGGCAAAGGCTTTCAAAACTGAGGACGTGGACCAATGACATTCACCAGCTGGTGCTTGCTGTAATCAGCTGTTTGCAGGAGTTCAAGGAGGGAGCTAGGTCAGTCGAGCGCATTGCAAATCTGTGCTTGCCGTTTACTTAATTAACAATGTATGCTGCCACCACATGCTCTGCCGCATGCAACAGTCTCAGTTAGCATTTGCAAATATTCCAAATTTCACTGAACAATTTGGGAATATTTTCATCTTGGTCAACAACAACCTCTGAAAATCTCATCAGCTCTCATCGGCTCTGAAGTTCCTGCCTTTTCTTGAAGCTCAATCGATTCAAGTAGTCTCGATTTGCATGTGCCGGGCTTAGATTAGTATTGATTTTAATTTACATCACAAGACATGAGGGGTATTCTTTTGAGCTACAGTGCTTGCAACTAAAATCCGACCCCCTGGGGCGGCGCGCCGCGCCAGGGGGTCGGATTTTAGTTGCCAGCACTGTATAGAGAACTTTCCAATGAGTCATACCGTGCGGCCTATGAGGATTCGGGCCAAAGATCATCGAGTTCACCACAGATCACCGGACTTGAAACGGAGCTTGGGTGGCAAAAAAAGAAGACTGCACTGGAAGGAAACAGTGTTTTTCGAAAGCAGTTCCATTTTGCATACTGTAGTTTGAGAATACCAAAGGGCTGCTCGCGATCGGATGTTCTCACACCTGGATCGTCTTTGAGTTGTTATCGTTTCCCTACGATGGAGAACGACAGAACCAGTGGATGACAGACACACGACTCGAGAACTTCGCTCCTGAGTCAAATGCTTCGAAGTACACGAATATTGTTCCATCGCTTCGTTGGCGAAGAGAAAAGTCATGATCATCCCCTGTCACCCCAGTACGTATCGAACTAACTAACCAACTTGTTCAGCTCATTTGTGGCAGCACCAGTAAAGGCGGAAACACGAAGATGATTCTGAACACTATCAACTTACTTAGTTTGTTGGGGTGCAAGGTATAGCTGGAGTTTGATGATTGATAGGGCTGATGCTGATGGTAATGACTAATGTACCCAGCTCTATGCACGTACCTCTACATGACTGGTGGTGCTAGCTATTCTAGTACTGGCCCTGGGTGCAACTCATCATCTCTTCCATGCCAGTGTGTATGCCTCATGTTCTGCACGTGTATTTCCTTTGTCATGGGTAAATACTCTGATCGACCTACTTGCGCAATCTTCTGTTTCCCACTTGGTTGCTGCGCTGTGCAGTTCTTCATCTGCTGCGGCACATACTAGTATACCTCATATTCTGTCTTTCTGGTCAATTAGGTACATGTATTCAGCTTCTTGATCTTCTTGTGGTGAGGATCATCTTGATCTTACTTCTTGTGTAACTCTTGCAAAGGCAGTAATGGAGGACACTCTACCGGTAATCAGCAACTGCTTATGGAGAATGCCAGGTCGAGGGACGACCAGGAAAAAACAATTGCTGTATTGGATGTGCATTCATCAGCGTGTTTTAAGATCAGGACAACTAAGTTCGCCACTACACCAACTTTTTGGCTACATAGGAGTAATGATGATGACGGCCGTGTTTGACTTCGTCAGTTTTCGTGCTTCCAGCCACCGCATGTCAACATTGTCATACTCGTACTGATAAGGAAGAAAAACCCACACACGCACGCACACACACGCACACACACACACACACACACGCACACCCACACACACCCACACACACACACACACACACACACACACACACACACACACACACACACACACACACACACACACACACACACACACACACACACACACACACACACACACACACACACACACACACACACACACACACACACACACACACACACACACACACACACACACACACACACACACACACACACACACACACACACACACACACACACACACACACACACACACACACACACACACACACACACACACACACACACACACACACACACACACACACACACACACACACACATGGATACACTGACAGGCATGCAAAGCAAGAGAGACAGAGAGAGAGAGTCAGGCAAAGAGAAGTGAGACTACTTGTAGGTTATGGGCAGGGTGCTCCAATTTCTGCCCAGCTGAAGTAAAATCCATGTACACTATTTTCGTGTAGTGTTCATTGACGGTGCCAGCCAATGGTGAGTGACCCAGTGGTGTAGGTGTTGACATTCAGCACACATCACATTTCAGTCTCCAGCGTGAATTCAGTCAAAACAACACTGCACTGCAGCGACATGGGAACATGCTTCTCCCAGGCCCACCATGCAAGTGCAGTGTGCGCCAAGAACAATTCCAGGTAATTCAGCAGCTACCCAAGGATGGACAGGTTCGGCAAAAACACTCCGCGAGTGCCTGACGTTTGCAAACGTATTTTGTTGACAGTTGTTGTTTCTTCCTTCGATTGGGCAAGACACGATAATGTGCCAACCCAGCCAGCAATGAGACACATGCAGTTGTATCCATCAGGGCTATTGTAAGACTTTAGAGAGTCCTTTGCATATGTGCTGGGGACATTCACTAAATATTTAGAGAGGCCTGGATACCCAACGCAGGGGGATTGGCTGAAAGGTCTTCGTCCATAGGTAAATATGGATCAATGTACTGGGCCCACGGATTCTGTCAATCTTCTCGCGGCAACGCCTCTTCAAGGCTGGAATAAACAGTAGAGTAACTACGGCTAGTAATCCTCGCGACTTACCGAAACTATTCACCACATCAAAGAAAAGCAAAAGTGCTTCACCACTGCGACGGCCTGCAACATCATTTTCAACCGTACACCGAACAACACATTTGATTCTCTTTTTGCCACCCAAGCACATTATACCGTAGGAAACGGACTTGTCTTATGGGTGATCTTTGGGTGGACACCGGGAAGGCGCCAAAAAGGTGATGTAATGGAAAGTCCTCTATACACAGTAAAGCCGATCGGGGCATGGATTGCACATACCGTATGTCAGCGCCTTTAAAGCAATGGCCTTATATTCGAAACACAACGCTGCTTTCCTAACTATTTTAGATCCAAAATGACTCACCCATTACGCCATGCCATAAAAATCAAAGTCCCACAGAAAATGTTATCTAAATCCATTTGTTCACCCTTCCTGCTGAGCTTGAAGTTTGTTATTGTAATACTTATTCCCTCGTTTTTTCAAAACATACTTCAAACGTTATTTCATTTAGGAAGCCCATGGCTTTATGACTGAGACCGGCTTTATAATCGAATATACCTCCATTACCTCCACATGGCTTTAAAAAGGTGCGGACATATGGTATATCATAGTCTATTATACTGTAAAAGCAGAACTTTTCGGTGGTGTTTTATTTTCGGTAACTTCGGTGCCAAAATTTTTACTGAAAAAAACGCACCAAAAATGTCGGTATAGTACACTTACCTGGAACGCGGGTTTACTGAAAATTTACCTCCGCCGAACCACCGATTTTGGAGAATACCGAAAATATTACAAAACCGAAAATTTCTGCTTTTACAGTGGAAGCAAACAGTTTCCTCTGAGACAAGAATGCGATAATACTCATAGAAAGGACTCACTTCAGGCTCTTCAAGAGCATCTTGAGAGTTTTTGGTTTGACAAGTATACTTTCAAGCCTTCTCATCAGGTTAAATACAGGCAAGGGACAAGGAACAGGAACAGTGGATTAAGTACAGTAAGGAGGTGGTAAAACAGCGCAAAGAAGAAGATTCATTGCATTCCCAACTCATCACAACCGCACGCTCTTCAGCCGAACCATACAGACACCAGGAGGACACTTCCGTTGAGAGATAATATTGTTCCACGCCTCTAGACAGCTGTTTCGCTCCCTGTCGGAGCTCATCAGTAGAGGATGATAATGATGATAATGGAGGAATGATCATTCTTATTAGGGGTCAAACGGGTGTACCTTTAACTAACGAACAGGTAATTTTCTTAACGGGCGGGTTACCGGGTACCCTTTAGCAGCCATGTTTATGTTTTTGCGCAATTTTCACAAAAATCAAGATTTTAATTCATGTGTTCTCGGGTTGCATTTTGATATGACATTGTGATTCGCAAATCGATTGGTGTCTGATACAGTGATAGTCGCAGGAGTAGATCTACTACAGTGTAGGTGCGAAAATGCAACAACAATGCAGACATCCAGCATGAAGTTGTAAATCATTGACTCCCGCCTGGAATACACGATTCCAGCAGTGTTGCTCCGTACTGACGGGTTCATCAAAATCCAAACGGGTACCCTTTTCTAACGGTACCTGAGATTAACGGTCGGGTACCCGGGTACCCGGTACACCCCTTTGACCCCTAATTCTTATACACAAGAAATGGCGCAAGTGCGCGCTTTCCACATAATAACAATGGCATATGCAAGCTGCTAAAATGGTAAAGTGTGAGAACAGCGATAAATATTCATAGCACGCGCTCATTTGTGAGCGCGATGAGTTGGGAATTGATGAGTTGGGAATGCAATGAATTGAAAATAGGGCCGAAAGCTCTGTCGCAATATTTAGTTCTAAAGAAGATAGCTAAAGTAAACAGCGAAAATGCGTGACCTATACACATAGCAATGATGACACAAAGGTGCAAGTGGCAGAAAACTCAATAATATAATTATATCATAGAAGCCTTGCTTGATAGTACTGTTCAAATGGTTGCAAGACCGGGACTCTGCCAACCGGGTTATGGTTGTAGCCAGGAGCACTGTGCGTCCGCGATTTGTAACATGCTGTTGAAATCATTACCTCCACCGTCAATCAGGGAAGCTCATGTGACTACTCAATCTACTTCCTTCGTATACAAAACTTCGTGACTTTTTTCAACAGTGTTTTCGACCATGAACCTGCTCAACGAACCGCGCCAAAGGCTGTCATCGACAACCCACATTCATGTCAAGGTTAGTAATTGGTTTGGTTGATCCCGAGCAGATTCTCACCGGAAGCCATGCGGGCGAGGACGTTGCCGACAAGAACTCACAAATCAATTGAAAAAAATTAAGACTTACTTGCTCGAAACTGACACACGTCAGGCGAAATTACTGGTCAGTCGGCGACACGCATTTTTCACAAAAATTTGCGTTTCACCTGCGTTTCACCTGCTGGGAGAGTATGCGTGTACTCGAGTCTCATCCTGAGCACGTTTTTTTCTTCTTTTTTTCAGCTCCAGTATAGCTGTATTTTTCATTGCAAAGCCGTCCACGATTTTTGAATTCTTTATTCTTCATGGCACCATCGCCAATAAGAGATAAATTTATGAGAAGGTGAGATTGTGGGTTAAACAGTTGGAAAGTGATTTACATCACTTTTACATCACTTTGAACTTTACAAGTATGGGAGAGGGTGAGCACTGCAGGAGCAGATTGAGTTAATCAGCAGTGAGCAGATTTCTTGTTTGAAAGCAGGTCGGGAGGAGACGTCACGAATGCTAGCAGGGAGGGCATTGTAGTATTCTAGGGACTTGTACAGTGGGGAGTCTTTACAGCGATCGGTTCTGGAGGGTGGGAGGTGCCAAGTGCGTGCGTGTCGAAGGCTGTACTGGGCCGTAACTTGAGCGGGGGTGTTGAGCAAGCGTATGTGTTGTGGGGCATATTGGTATTTTATGGAGTGAGCAAGAAGGGTGAGCTTCACTTTGCGGCGAGAGAACATTGTCGGCCATTTGAGCCGATGGAGCAGTGTTGAATGATCCAGAGGAGTGTAGAGGGGGAGACGGAGGCAGATTCTGGCCGCCTTGCGCTGGATTCGCTCAAGACGGTCAAGGGCTGCGATTGAGAGTGGGGTGACAGCAATGCATGCATATTCAATTATGGGCAGGATATACGTTTTGTAAATGAGAGAGAGTGATTTAGTGTGTAGAGTTGATTTGAGCCTAAAGAGAATATTAAAAGATTTTACAGCTTTCTTTAGCACAAAGTCAAGGTGGGCTGACCATCTTAGGTCGTGCTGAAAGATGATGCCGAGGTGACGATGTTGTGTTACTGTTTCTAGTAGGGTTTGGCCAAGTTTTATTTCGGGTAGTCGTGGTGGGGGTCGGTTAGCATGGTAGAACGGGAGGATGACGGTTTTCGTTTTATTGACTAGCAGGTGCCAGCGCTCTAGCCATTCTGCTGCGGCATCGACGCTTCTTTGTGGCGCAGCCTCACACTCAATGTAGCTGCCTGCAATGGCAATCAGTGCGGTGTCGTCCGCGAACTGGCTACACGAGGTTGTAGCATTTTCACAGGCAGTGGGCAGGTCAATGGTGTACGTCAGGAACAGAAGTGGTCCCAGGACCGAGCCCTGGGGCACTCCCGCTGGTATTGGTATGAAGGCGGATGTTGTGCCTTCAACCTGCACCCGCTGTCTGCGTCCTGTCAAGTAGGCTTCGAGCCAATTGTGAGCCTTGCCATCAACACCGTAGTGGCTCAGCTTTTTCAGCAAGCCTTGATGCCATACACGATCAAAGGCTTTTTCGCCTGACGGTCAGTGACGAAGTGGAGCTCACGGCTGGAACACAGAGTCACTCGGCACTTGCTGCCCTGAAGCTGGCCAGGCTCGTAGGTCTACTTATGGTGCGCGGCCTGCATGCAGAGTGAAAACATAAAGCTGTTGCGCTCGCACGGCAAGATGAAACATTTCAGTTATAGTGCAACCAGCACAGACTCCGGATCGGAATATCGACGACCTGGGTTTCTTCGCACTCTCTCCAGCCAGACAGCTCCATTGTCGTGAAGGGGAATTGCAGGGACCTCCTTGAAGCCGTTGTAGAATGCTGGAAGGAGTATCCTGCCGAGAAAATGCGAAGCGTGTGGATGTGCTTGTACGACTCGTTTCAAGGGAATAGTGGAGGTCGCAGGCTGAAACGACTGAATAGTCGACAACGATTCGTACGCAGCTCTGGAGATGATGAGGACGTAGCCAGAGTGCCGCATCGTATCATCATTGCTGCTGACAAGAAGTTGAACAAAATGCGAGCGGAAGCAGTGACTGTTGGCGATGCGGGGTCAGCGTCATTAGGTGACAACTCAATCTCATTCATCTGAGTTGCTTTTTTTTGTATATAGCTTGCACACAGGTTAGACAATGCCACGAGTGTTATTCCAAGTCAAACGGAACAATTCCAGAGCTGTGTGCAGCCTTCCAAAAAGTCACGAAGTTTTGTATACGGAGGAAGCAGTACAAAGAGTTATGAATAGTAACTACATGATGAGCATGAAACAGTACGAGAAAAGTCTCTAATGGTACAAGTAGCGAGTGTCCATGATTTGTGGGGGGGGGGTATAGTAGTGCCAGGCCAGGACGGTTTTGCTTCCACGATGCACTGTGACTAGCGACTACTGTAAAACATGCAATTTTAGGTGCATTAAAAGTTCGGTGCCAGGGACCTGCCGGATTTCAGGTGTAATTTATAATTAGGTTACCAGCGTTCCCTTTACATACAGTGCATACTCTAGTGCTTTTTAGGTGGAATTTAAATTTAGATGCCTGGTTTCTCTACCGAAATCACCTAAATTAAAGTTACACCGAATATTACATGGTTTACAGTACCTGCAGAGCATGGCTCGCGCCCCGCTTCTTCTTCTTCTTCCACTGTCGATTTTTGACCCGTAACTAGTGATCGCATTGTAGGACAAGGAAGGTTGTTCCAAGTTCGTTCTGTGTCCAGAACAGATTCGTTAGGCGAGACCAAAAAATAGAGATTCCCGGGCCCTCCCGCACCGAAATCGAGCCAAGCCTTTCTTTTTTTTAACAGTTCATATGTAGAGTACTGATCGTGTGCGTAGATTTGTGATGTGGAGTCACGCTAACTCGGGCTTGTACGACTCCCTGATGCACAGATCAGGGCGACCGTTGGCTGAAATGCAGAAAAATTGAACGGGTAAACCGCGTACCCGTTGTGTGTAAAAAAATTGAATATAAATTACCGGAAAGTGCTGTAAAAAAAGTTCAACATGGCATGCACACATATGCATGTACATGTACATGTACATACATAGGAAAAAAATAAAAATAAGTAAATAAAATTCACCTGCCCACACCAATTTCACATGGGTCCTGCCCGGGAATCTCGATTGTATTCCCGTAGCTATGCAGAAGACGTTACTTCAGTAAGTTTTTCACTCCAAAGGCAGCTCACAACACGTGCCACACATACTGATGGCACTTGGGTCTTTTTCCCTCCCCCAGGGGACCAACCACGGTCAGTTTCTGGAAACTACCAGAGGTGAAAGAAAGTGATTAAAATTGGAAAGGATTGGGAGAACTTCATATTCAAAGGATCAGTCGGGGAAGTGAACTGCCTGAAAAGAGAAAAAAACGCCAGACCCACCAGGACTCGAACCTGGGACCCTGCTTGTCATGAGCAATGCTCTAACCACTGAGTGATGATGTAACAACGTCAAGCCCTGCTTTCCTTTTGTGTTTGTTCTATTGTAGCTGCATTATTAGTTTCACTCACGAGGTTCTGTTGATGATTGGGCAAGCGGTCGATCATTGCTCTGGAACAATTGATTCTTTACCATGATTGTGATAGTAGTGCACGCATGGTTTTAACCTATTGCCGGTCTAACTCAATGTATGTGAGGGGTGGTAACGCAAATACATGTACACGCAACCAGTAATAACTCAAGAACCATGTGATTTAGGTATGGGTAAACCATATATTTTAAAAAATCTGTATGCCTGAGCGCGTCCAGAAAATTCAAATATGACTAGGTTCAGGCAAGGATAGGGCCCATGGTAGCCCTTCAAGTTGAGAGAAAATACAATTGCGAATGAAATACACGAATATCACAGCACGAAGGGCATACCAAGTTCGTGATGGAGCTCAAGTCGTACGGTAAACAATCAGGTAAGGGCTTCGTCTTTACAAGAAATGTAGGCTCTCTACAATACCGCCATTGAACACCAACACCTCGCCATCGGCGATACGCCAGCAGCAGCAATTCCCATTCCACGATATCGCAGTTTCGGTTTGTTCATCTCAGCACTGCTCGCGTCAGATTCACTCTCGCTCAGATGAGTACTCGGGCGCGAGCTTACGCATGCCGTGATTCTCACGACCAGGCGAATCAGCTGATCGCACCTGACGAGTCCTTGTGACAGTCGCTGTCGCCGTGTCGGCAGCAAGAAGGCTTCCTCTCTGTTTGGAGAATTTTGTTTCTTCATTCGCGGACGATATCTTTTTGAACTAGCAGGACTCAACGGAGCTCTTTTTCTCAACACACTACACTGCAAAACCCCCCGGGAGATCCAGCCTGGACTGGTGATGTTACTGCTCTCAGAACGCTTGTCAAACACGGCCCCAAGAGATGCACTCGCATTCTAGAAATGAGCGCATGGCAGATGGTCGTCTTTTCCAATTTCAACAAACTTCGGTCGATCGATACGGCAAAAATTTGTATGATGAGCATGGCTGTTTTGTACATAGGCAGAAAGCCTTGGACCTCAGCTACGGGTAGAGCGCCATTTCAGCTGTCTCCTAGCAACAAGAAAGCCTTGGACCTCAGCTACGGGTAGAGCGCCATTTCAGCTGTCTCCTAGCAACAAGAAAGCCTTGGACCTCAGCTACGGGTAGAGCACCATTTCAGCTGTCTCCTAGCAACAAGACCCCAAAAAATGAGGGCCAAACGTACCGATACTATAGTATCCGTTCGCTCATGGTAGACCGGTAAAGGGTTAATATTATCATTATTTCGATAGCTGTCATGGTGTTCTGTGCTGTCCTTGCCATTCTTCACTTTGCTTCTAGGATCGTGGAAAGTGAGAACGGGTCAGTTGCCCAGCAAGCTTGGAAACTACTCTCTGGCAGTGCTGACGGATGAGGATATGAATAGGCACGAAGTCAGAAACACCACCTTCGAGAATGCTGCTGACGCGTGTTCATTTTTGGCTCACCGGCTACTGTCTGCGATAGATATAAACATAGCCTGGGAGAACAAAAACCTCCGTAACGACCTCAAACATCTCATGACTCCAAACAGGGAATACATCCTGAGGGGAGGAAATGCGGTCGTAACTTTCCTACCTAATGAACCGAATCCCGTGTTCTCGTCAAGCAAAGAAAACGGAAAATATTATGTATTGTGTGGAAGTAAGTTTCTATCTTTTATTTTCATTTGTATTTCTCTCCTCAGCTTCTTCTTCTTCACAGGCTGTTCACAGAGACTTCCTCGCTTTAGGCTAAGGCCTGTGGAGAATCCATAAATACAAATACAAGTCTCTGTTGTGATTTTATTGTTGGAAGGTAGAGGTTACGAGAATGAGGTGATGCTCGTGTCAACAAAACTGCTAACGGACGCATTGTATACAGCTGAAGTCGGCAGTCGCCATGTTTGGGCTCAATGCATTATATTTCTTTGCCGGGGTATCCCTAAAAGATATACGTATAGGGAGCTAAAGATGAATGTATGTGCTAAGTTCCTGGCCAAATGAATTTGGTGATATGATTCGGGAGTGTGTTAACGGGGCCGGCACCAAGGACAGAACATTGTATTCAGCTTGAGTGTCCAGAACGGGCAACAGGGTAAATGTTGTCTTGGCCTTTAGTGATTATCTGTTTGAGCTCAGCCCTGGCGAAGGTAGAGCATCTATTAGAAAGGGTGGGGCTGGAGAAACAAAGACTCTACACTTACAGTGCATTCATTGGAAACTGGCACTCTAACTTGTTTTTGGTGGCTCCCGCACTTACATGTACATGTAGTTGTAGATATCGTGAAAACAACGGTGCATCCTGCATTGTGTTGTAGATATCGTGAAAACAATGGTGCATCCTGCATTGTGTTGTATTATATCGTCAAAACAACAGTACATCGGTACAGCGCCTGCTCATTTAGTTTTCAGTTTGTCCTAGTCTCTGTCTCCTTATTCTTTTCGAGCTGGTTACGTGAACAAAGTAAAAAAATTCTGCATTGTGTGACCCATGCAGGTACAGTCAACTTGGCTTATAACGACACTCGGCGGGGCATCAGAAAAGTGTCCTTATTCGCGAAGTGTCGTTATACCCGAAGTGTCATTATATGTGTCACAGTTGGATGGGACTTTGCTCTGGGCATGAAAATTATGTCGTTATTCGCGAATTGTCGTTATATCCGCAGTCGTTATTAGCGAAGTTGACTGTAGTCCTTGCCACATTTTTAAAAGGAAATAGAAGTTCAGCCAGGTTTTAGATAATTAGGACAGGCATGCTATGACAAAATGTATGGAGAAGCAAATCCCAAACCCAGATGTTTTAGATTTTAAAGTGGGGTTTTGATACTCAATTCGGCCCAAATCGGACTTTCAAAAGCCAGCGGGACTGTTTCCAACAAATGGGCTGTAGTATAACAACATCTGTTGTCGCAAATTAGGTGATACGTGTCAAGCGAGTAAGATGTTTCAACACAGCACAAAAATCCTTCTATAATCACTGTGCGTGAACTCAATGAGACACGCAAGGAGTGTGCCGATAGTGCAGTATGGAGTAGATGCCAGATGGGTTACTCACACGACGACTGCATCTGTCCTGCGCTGCACTATCCGTCAGCACTAAAATGGGATGTACAACGAGTGAGCCCTTGTTGCAGTACAGTAAGATCGGGCGCCGAAGAACGCAGGGGCTCGAGCGCAGCCTAGGAAAGTTCTTAAATATTTGATTCTAGCCAGACCGTTCTTATTCACACGCGCACGGCGAGTCGAGTGACGTCATGACGTTTGTCATGTACATGTACATGTACATGTACATGTACATGTACATGTAGTGCAATGTAGTACTTCTAAACTAGTGGGTGTCGTAAATGGGAATGACTGTACATGTAGCAGTTACTGTTTACACGTGTACATGACATGTACTCACCTCCCATACATGTACAATGTAGATCTACGTACAATGTAGATCTAGTGTTCTTAAATCTGATAATTCTAGCCTGGACTGTTCTTAAATTTTGCCGGTTTTCCAGCCTGGGTGTTCTTCGGCGAGGTGTTCTTCGGCGCCCGATCTTACTGCTGGCTGGCGAGGGAGTGCACGGAGTAGTTGCTAGATGGGTCACTCGTAAGAGGACTGTATCTGTGGTGCACTGCAAAATCCGGCGATCACTTCAATGCTGACGGCCCTTTGATTTTAATACCATAACGCCTTGTTTTACACCCTTCGAGTATCAGGCCCGCGCGAACCATCTCTTGTTTCTTGCTTGTTTCAAGAGTCTACAAAATATTTTCTTTTCCAGTCATTCAAAACCTCAACCTTCTTTGGCGAGGTCTCTGATGACCGAAACAGCTGCCAGAAGGAATTAATGAGCGTTAGCATGCTAACGCGAGTTAGCAGCCAGCCCAGCGAGCTGGCCCAACCTGCATGCATGCGCAAGTCACGTGGGCATGCGCCCTTCAAAATCCTGTACAAAGTCTCTTGCATGCCATTGCGGTTTGGACTTTCGAGCGTGCAACTTGCGGAACATGTGTTCCCAAACAATTTCCTTTCTTTTAGACTTTCAAGCTTGCATTCTCATATCTCTACGCTTCAAATTCAGACTTCAATGACGCCTGTTGGTGCCTGAAACAATGTCGTTGTTTACAGTGGAACGTCGACTGTGGATTTTTAGCTTGCGCCATCATCAGGTTTCCTGATATGAAGTACCTCCACGCGATCTCAGCGACCCTTGTTTGTGCCTTGAAACAATGTCGTCGTCATGCACCGGCGTCCAGCCTCTCCGGACCTCCTCGCTCTACCTGGCTCTGCAGCTCGCTGCCAGCAGGCCGGACCCTACTGGGAGGCCGGTGCAGTGACGACTGCCATATGCGCATTTTTGATATATTTTTTTACTATGTTCACATACACAGAGGCAATATGCTTTGGTTCTGCTATGACCGCTGCGGGTTTTTTGACGCTTGATTGCAGGAGTTTGTGTGCGCTTAGATTTGTCATACGAACGCAGATGCCTGTGCATGCGTGTGGACATGTGTCTATAGGTGTGTGTATATGCGTGTGTGCGTGTGTTTGTGCGTGTGCGAGCTTGGGTATTGTGGGTGGGTGGGTGTCTGTGTGTGTGTGCGCCCGTGTGCAAGTTAGGGTGTTGTGGTTGGGTGTATGTGTGTGTGTGTGTGTGTGTGTGTGTGTGTGTGTGTGTGTGTGTGTGTGTGTGTGTGTGTGTGTGTATTAGTGTGTGCGTGTATGTGTGCATGTGTGTGGGTGTTACTATGTGTGTGCGTGTTAGTATTAATTTTGTGTGTGTGGTGTGTGAGCGAGATTAAGCGCGTACTTGTTAGTGCTAGACCTGCACCTACTGCATCTACCTCTGAAATAGCCTGTCCCTGTATACATTCACGCGATTACTCCTCTCGCTATCGTATTATCACACCTCTCTCCACTTAGATATACCAGCGCTGCCTCCTATTCCATTATCGTTGTCCGATGATTCGTTCAGCCATGAAACTCTGAGTCACAACGGAATTAATTTGCCTAGGTTTTCATTGTGTGCCTTTGTATGTTCACATACCCAACTCATAAATAATACAGAAAGACAATGATACTGAGACAAGGACAAACGTGACAACTACTGAGAAGGGGCTGCACCGAGATGCAGCAGTGATGGTGGGGCATTGATGGCTCTCCCTACCTGAGGTCTCGGCATCACGGCCAGAAACATGCACCAAAAACAAAAGATAGAGCTGTAAGGGTCAGCAAGAAATAAAAAAGAAAGCAAGGGCACACAACAGCTAGTACTAGTGTGCAGCGCATTCGTAGCAATGGGAGTCGTTGACGGGGGCACTAGAATGTAGGTGGGTCGACAGGCAGAATGTCCGTGGACCATCGCCAATCCTGTCGGCGGAGGTATTCGTTGACGTTGCACTTAAACTTTTGAAGATTTTTGTGAGTTGGGGCGGAGTCTAGAAAAGCTGGCGGCAGGGAATTCCACAGCTGGATTGCACAATGTGGGAAGCTGCGGAGAATGGTGTCTGGTGCTTGACGCGGTAGGGGATTTAGTAACTGTGGACGGCGGCCATGCGGAGATCGTTTCGAGTGCGAATGGCGTCACGGGGCTCAAGCCTTGGTGGGAGGACTGCTAGCAATTGAGGCGGACCGGTGATGAAATGCAGTTTGTAAGTGTATGCAGCACCAACAACAGGTGAACCTGACTGTCCTATACGGGCCCTCCTCGATCGTGTCCTGAGAGGTGAGTTCGTTGACTTCGATTTCTTGCTGCCCGATACAGTTGCAGTCAGTGCAGCTCCGGCGACGTTCCAACTTCGTAGCCCCTCATATGTTGCTCTTTTGGCGCACTAGTATTTATTGGAATCCAAACCCAGAACTGTGCTTCGTATGCTGCATAACGGTAGCACTTGAGTTGAGACCTGGACAGTGTTTATTAATGGTCTGTGTTCCATTGTTGCTCACCGTGTTTCACAAGTGCCTGTCGACGTATTAGGCCACGATAGTCACGGCCAATCCCCAGTTCTTGCCAGCAAGAAACTGGACGTGATCAATATTCAATCTGCGGACAACTGTTTTGTCCTTGGTGGACTCATCAGCGCAGCACAGAGGAACCTGATAGCAATGAAAAATAAAAAATCTCCAAAGCCAGGTTATCAATATCAACTTGTGGCAACTGCGCTTTACAGCGTACTGGAACAGCACAACCCGCCTGCCAGTAGTGCAGCTCGGTGCACCTGCCAGCATTTCGTCCCACTCACCAGTCCAGATTCACATCACGTAAGGGTACCGCAACTGTATGCCGCTACTACGAGTACGGCACTTGCACGTGTCAGCTCAGGCAGTGCTGCCAGCAGTGCAGCTCAGTGCACCTGCCAGCATTTCCGTCCGCATTTCGTCCCACTCACCAGTCCAGATTCGCATCATGTACCGTAACTGTATGCCGCCACTACGAGTACGGCGCTTGCACGTGTCAGCTCAGGCAGTGCTGCCTCCAGTGCAGACAGGAGCACCCCAGGGCTAAGTGTAAGGCCTCGTCAGTAACTGTGTAAGCAATCAGTTTCTCACTTCACTAACTTACTGGACTCACATCCTGATCCTATGCTCTGGATGTATGTTGCACATGGTCGTAAGTGTGGTGTTGCGGTAGGTTTCATCGGCAACCACTCAAGTAACTGGGATCCATTGAATTTAACACGGTCACATAAACGATCCGTTTCTTGCAGCAGGCTTGAAACAGCTGGCCTGTGTTCTTCACCCCCCTTTCTCGTCTCTGTGCTGTTCTGGCATAGATGCGGTTCCTAGACGAACGGGAAGTTACACACGACACACCCTTTGTAAAGCCTGGAGGGTCGAAGTGTCAACGATTACATTCCAGCAGACCGTATCTCTCCACGATGTCGAGATGACAATGCTGCAAACATAATTAGACTATTTATCGCCCCGCTGTATCTTGCTAAGCTCAATGTTAAAAGTGCATTCTGCCGAATTCCCGTCCGCCCAGAGGAGTGGCCCCTGTTGATCCGCTGGCAGGATCAATACTGTTATGAGAGCGTCCTGCCCTTCAGACTGTACTATGCTACAGGCCAGCTATATGGAACTCTGCGCATCCGCCAGTGAATGGATTGTGTGCGAGCAGTTCGCACTCCCATGCCTGTTGCATTACGGGGAATACCTCAACTAACGTTACTTCCTCAATGCATGCTCTGGACTTGTGTTAGCTCGCCAGCAACTCGCTATTCTGCTCCAAGCGTTTACCTCGGTGTTTCTCTGGCCCCAGGAAAAGTGGAGGGTCCAGCTCAAGTCCTGACATTATTGGCATCTTCCCATTATGTGAAATACCTCGACTAACGTTTCTGTCTCCTTGTATGCTCTGGACTTGTGTTAGCTCGCCAGCAACTCGCTACTTGGCGCCGTGCGTTTACATACCTCGGTGTTTCTCTGGTGTCAGCAAAAGCGCTTCCTCGATGTGAGCTCTGGACCTGTGTTAGCTCGCCAGCAACTCGCTACTCGGTGCTGCGCGTTTCCGTACCTCGGTGTTTCTCTGGCGTCAGCAAAAGTGGAGGGTCCAGCCCACATCCTGACGTTTATCGGCGTCATCCTGGACACCGGCGCGCTCACATCAGTCTGCCGATGGACGAACTTGCCAAGCTTCACAACCTCCTACGGGCCACTCTCCACACAGCTTCAACTACCCAATGTCAACTTGAGTATCTTCTGGGAAAGCTCTCGTTTGCTACAAGAGTGATAGTCCCAGGACGTACATTGCAGATTGTGGTCACTTGCCAACTGGTACCGGCAGCCGTAATACCTGATTAAGCTCTCCGAAGAGTGCCTCCAATATCTTCGCTGATGGCCTGAGCTCCTGGAATAGTAGAACGGCCGGTCCTTCTTCCTACACCCTAAGTGGACGAACTGGGCTTGAAAAATAGGTCTACTTCTTCTGGCCTGCACCAGTTAATCTGTACACTGCACGACAAGAACTAATTCGAAAAATGGTCCACCGTCGACAGCAGATCAACGGCAGATGCTCAGTCTGAAAACTTTATGAACACACATTTCTTCAGAGAGAAGTAATGTTGATGACATATAAGGAGCTGGACTGGGATTTATAGGAACAGTGGTTGAGAAAAAAATGCCAGACCCACCAGGACTCCAACCCGGTACCTGGCTTGTCTTGAATAAAGCTCTAATCATCAGAGCTATGGGACTAGGTTGGACCTTCAAGGCACTGACAAGTCTTCCACTTCAAAGGCAGTTCACACTTATTTTCTCTTTTCAGGCAGTTCAATCCCCCAACTGATCCTTTGAATATGAAGTTCTCCCAATCACTTTATTTCACCTCTGGCAGTACGATCCCGAAACTGACAGTGGTTGGTCACCTGGAAGAGGGAAAATACCCAAATGCCATCAGTAGGTGTGACACGTATTATTCCATTTTATGACTACTAGGAAATCCACAGCAGCTCGAGTACCGATGGGTTGCGAAACGAACTGCAGAGGTGATACGTGAGTGCAGCCAAGACAGGCACGAGCTGAAAGTCTCAGCTGTGAGGGACGTTGGTGGATGTAAATATATGTCGAGGACGATACTGGTAAGACAAGTAGACAAAACGATCAAACAACGATTCAAGGACGCATTGCAACATACCACCCAGCTTTTGCGGCTCTAATAGGTGATAGGTATGTGAAAATAGAGAGGTTCTGCAAAACGAAAATGCGTACACACTTTCGCTCTACGTCATGAAGTGCGAAACTTTGCATGAACTTTTGCAACCTTGGACGCGAAATGAACTGTGGTAGGAAATTTCGTGAGATCGGGTCATGGCGTACGTGCACTTTGCCCGCGCAAACTACGAAAATGTGCAGAACGCAAAGTTCGTGCGAAAATTCGTACGCATTTTCGCAAGGCCTGTTGCGAAACGTTGTTCGAATTTTCGCTGTCTTATGTCATTCTGTCCAGATACAACCTTGACTGGATACCGGTACTGTCTTCCGCTTGGTGTAGTTCTGAAATGGAGTTACGATTCCGCGAATTTAAACTTTACAAATGGCCATAGTTATTGCAAGCGAAACAATGGTACACTACTCAGTGCAGGAGCGTTCACATCGGGATGCACATCGTTCCCGGGTGCACCCCATCCTGCCTGGATCGACCAGTTTGAGCACGGGAAAGGAGATGAGATTGCATACGTCACCGGACAATCATCCTCTTCCACTCGTTACCTGAACAACTCAATACACGTCATTTGTGAAATACGTAAGTGAAACTGACCAATCAATGAAAGGTGTTACATCAAATCATACCCTATTACAACATAGAAAAGAAAAAGGACCAAGGAACTAAAGGTTACGATAATAATGTCAACTAACACCAGTTACTAAACAATCAGCTCATGCGACTGGTGGTGTTAGTGGACATTATTATCGTTACTTATAGTGCCTTGGTCCTATCGATTATCAAATTGACTCCAAACGCTAACGTTTCCAGGTACAACATGGTCTGACATCGCAATTGGCGAATGAAAATGGGTGCAATCTATTGCGGGTTCACAGCAATCCTTTCTCTAGCACATGATTGTACTTATAACAGAAAGCAATTTACAGACTAGCTATAATATTGCATTAGAAAGAGTGTGGTGGGGAAGGTGTTGGTGACATGGGAGCAAACAATTGAGATTTATTGAGAATTGATGCATAGGTTGTGACGCTGGGACTCTTTGTGATGTTAACAACTTCATTTCTTTTCATTTTTTGTCCATTTGTTTAATAGCTTGTCCACTCACAGCTGGAGATCAGATTGCTAACATATCAGAGAATGGTCATGTAACATGTGATCCTGGTTTTGAGTATGCTCATGCACAACGGCCGTGTGACATCGACATGCGCACTCCTTCCTGCACACGTATGCGTCAGGCGAAATTACTGGTCAGTCGGCGACACGCATTTTTCACAAAAATTTGCGTTTCACCTGCTGGGAGAGTATGCATGTACTCGAGTCTCATCCTGAGCACTTTTTTTCTTTCTTTTTTCCAGCTCCAGTATAGCTGTATTTTTCATTGCAAAGCCGTCCTCGATTGTTGTGTTCGTTGTTCAAACGAAGTGGACATTCAATCATGAAGGCAGAGGACATAGGAGCCTGATTGGAGTTTCTCGTGGCATAGGACGGCCACACAGAGACACTTTGGGATTTTCTGAATATAAAATACCGTACGCACGATGCTGAGATCAATTTGTGCGATATCAAATTGTTTGTGATCTACCACATCGAGCAGAACGGGATCCAAACACAAGCTTACCGACGGCTAGGCTGCCGACCTGACTGGACAAATGATCCCTGGCTTCACCAGACGCCAGAAGTCGGACACCATGTCCTTTGCCGCGACGTCCATCTCCAAAAAAAACTCCATCTTCGTCGTGAAAAGGCTTGAAATACTCAATATTCAACCGAGATTCGCGGTCTCACCCTTTCTCAGATCGAATCATTTTTTGTTGTAGCAGTTGCAGGGCAGATCCCAGCCACAACTTCAACAGAAGATGGCTCCAAAGCATGCCTGGAACAAGCCATATCGAGGTTGCAAGCCACCCCTCTCAGCACTATTTTGGAAGAAATTCGAAATTTCAATGGTGGAAGGTATACTATGAAGAGAATTTCAAAAAGTATGTTTCGCGGAGCGATCGCTCAACCTACGTCATTCAAACTTTGCAGGATGGTTCAGACGTACATGCTAGGCATGGATCCACAGAAGATGATATCATAGCTGACACACACAGTCACACACACAGCAGATTCGTGTGCATAGATACTAAATTAGTGGACGTCGTCATCTTCTTCCCGCTGATCTCAAATGTACTATGACGTGCTATTTCGCCTGACGGTATCCATGTTTGTGATGATTGTTGATTCTCACAGCTGCCTTCTATAGGGTCCACTTCGATTAAAGGGGAACTACACCCAAAAATCAAAACTTCATGGTTCGTAGAGTTTCGGGCGCTGAGTCGAATGGTGAAGGTCCCACTTCGATCCGACCAAGCATTCCTGAGATTATATCAGTTTGAAATTGTCCTTTTCGGGTCCGTGCCATTAAATCCGTGACGTCATTGAGACTTGGTGATCCTTGGCAAGATCCAGAATCACTGGGATTTCGCATCTTCTTTCTGTTTGTCCATGGAAGAAGACCCTGATCTGTACATCTGGGAGTCCTACAAGCTCGGGTTTGTGTGACTCCACGTCACAGATCTACTCACATGATCAGTACTCTGTACATGCATGTTCTTTGTGTGCAGCTGCCTGTGGATGCAGGTGCCATTTTCCGTTGAAATTTGATCTTGTTTGAGAAAGAAACAAAGAAACAAACTTTCCAAATCAAGAAACGTTAAATGTCTTTCATGTCCGTTGAGTCGGGATTCTTATGATGTCGCGAGTCACGACATGAAAATTTGGTGCTGAAACCCCGTTTAATCTACCATGGCCTCGACGGAAGGAGGAACGTCAGGGTCCGGACAAGCAGAGTCAAGCTCCAACAGTGATACGTCGAAAATGGATACGGTCACCCTACCGGTGCAACTGACTTCTGTAAGCAGCTCAATTCAATGCCTGGTGCGAGATCTGCAACAGGAGGAGCACGATGCAGACCGGTTTATTGCCGGGCACGTGCCCCTGAATGACGTTGAACACTTCTTGGTAAGCTTTGAAAGCATTGTTGAAAGATTAGAAATCAAATTGAATCAATTTTCAAATGGTGTTGCTCAAATGCCCGCATCCACCAAGGGACAATGTGCCCAAGTTGAATCACTAAAACTGGAAATTAATGGAATGACAGTCTTGGTAGAATCAGCGGTCTCAAAAATCAGAAAATTAAACAAAGTGGCAATCAGACACAATAAACAAAATTAATGGCGATGGTCCAAATCCCATTGCCAGCGGAGGATCCGCATGGTATTCAAAACCGTGTCAATGTACAAAACAAAACAACACAATCTCTATTGGATGCCATCCATACCCTCACCAACAATGCTCCTGGGCGTTCCGAATCACAGTCCACACATCCCCATCACGTACCTTTACCAAAACTGGAATTACCAAATTTCAGGGGTGACGACATCAAATTTTCCGAATTCTGAGATGTACTTCAATCCACGGTACACGAGAACCCGGCTTTATCTCACACGGAGAAACTGGCGTATCTCAAAACATGTTTGTCGGGTGTGGCACGCAACGTCCTCGATGGGATCGTCCTCGACAACGGCCACTACCCAATTGCTGTCGAATTACTCAAAGAACGGTTCGGCAGGCAGCTAATGGTGTTGAATGCCCACTATTCAGCACTGGTTGATCTGCCACCGGCCTATGACACGGCCATCTCACTGCGCCAGTTGTACGACACAGTTGAAAAACACATCCGGGCGCTCAGTGCTATGGTTGAAGACTGTGACCAAGGGATTTTTGTGTCTCTGATCACATCAAAGCTGCTGAGTCCTGCCATGTTTCAACTGGAATTAGCTAAAGGTGAGGAGACGTGGTCCGCCGACCGCCTCCGCAAACACTTACATGACTTATCATCGCAAAGGAAGCAGCAGCTCGACCAACATCAGTCGGTTCTGCACAGTCAAGCATGACTGCACCGCGATCCACGAATGCCAGCCCTGGCGACATGCGGCCAGGCCAGACGTTGGCAGTTTCGGTCAAGAAACCGCAACGCGCAAAATGCTTCTTTTTTCACGCCATGACCAAGGAGATTCTCAGCAAGGCTTCGGACACGTACGCCACCACAGTGGAGAGAGCTACATGGTACGAGACAGCGTACAAGGATGCTGCAAGATTTGAACCTGCAACGACAGTGCATGCAGTGAAGTCGAGACGCACCGGAGACAGCGCTCAGAGAAGTGAAAGAACGAGGTCATGGACAGCAGCCAGCACCAACACCGAGACATGTTTCCGTTGTGACAAACCTGGTCACAAAGCCGCCGACTGTTACTTCAAGCAAACTGAGTGCAGGTACTGCAAGATCGTTGGCCATATCGAGAGAGCTTGCAAGAAGAAAAACGCCCGAGCCGTCAAGTTCGTCCAGACCGAATATGACGACCAGGAAACCGGTGAGTTTGAACCTGTGTCTGTGCCTCTGTCTCTTTACTACGAGAATGGAAATGCATACTCGAAAGTGGGTCCTTTCAAAATTGACGTAGATGTAAATGGGGCATCTGTGAATATGGAAGTAGATACAGGGAGTCCCGTAACGATCTTGAGTGAAAATGATTTTGTGCACGCAAATGGAAATTGCGAAAGGCTGGAAAAACCTACTACACGAATGCAAGGTTATACTGGTCAATCTATTGAATGTCTGGGTGAGATGTCACTACCTATCACTATCGAGGGTGTCTGTCAACCTGTACTTGTACGTGTCGTATCGAATGATCCATCCCTGCTGGGTCGAGACATGCTGTCAAGGTTTAAAATGCCATGGCACCTGTTCATTGAGCAAGAAGAAAACAGGCGTCAGCGAGTAAACCATGTGCGCGTACAGGATCTGATTGAGCGATTCCCAGAACTGTTCGACACGGAGGAAATTGGCAAATTGAATACAACGCAGATCACTCTGCATGTGGATGAATCAAATCCAGTGTTTTGCAAGGCACGGCCAGTACCCTTTTCGGTAAAGCAAAGATACGAAGAGTCTCTTGATGCACTGGTGAAAGACGGAGTGCTCAAGAAAGTGGATCATGCTAAATGGGCATCACCAACGTTACCAGTAGAAAAACCAAATGGCAAAATACGACTGTGTGGCGATTACTCGTTAACAGTAAACAAGCACTCGGATTGTGAACACTATCCATTGCCAACACTTGAAGAGCTACGTGAAAAATTGGCAGGGGCTATAAGTTCACGAAATTGGACTTATCACAAGCCTATCATCAGCTAGAGCTAGATGAGGGAAGCCGAGCTTTCACTGCCATCTCTACTCACAGAGGTCTGTTTGAGTATACGAGATAACCGTTCGGCAAAAACTCGGCCGTGTCAATCTTTCAACGAACCATCGAAAGTGTTCTTGCGGATCTACCAGGCTGCATGGTGTACATTGACAATATCTTGATTACGGGTGCTAATGAAAACGAACATATGGCAAATCTGGAAAGGGTACTCAAACGTCTGCAGAAAGTTGGGCTGAAACTTAGACCAGACAAGGTGCGAATAATGAAAGATTCAGTTACCTATCTTGGACACCGATTTTCTGGAAGCGGAATGTCCTCCACTTCAGAAAA